GGCACTTCAGACCCATCCCAAGCCCTTTTTTATTATTTGTTTGCAGAGGTTAGCAACTCTAGGTCCAGCTCACATGCTCCACTGAATTTGGCTTCTATTAAGACAATTCATAACTGCATTCCAGTGCCTAAGAAATATTCTCTTACATCTTAGCTAAAATCCTGGATCCAATGGAAGGGAACGAAGCAAGTGTGGCTTATGGGTCCTCTTGGCTACAGCAGTGTCCCTTGTTCATAGGCATTTCCATTACAATCAGGAGAGCTAGGAGTGGGTTCTTGTGCTGTTCCAGAGGTGAACACACCTTAAGCTGCAAAACATCCAGGCTGTTAATTAGGGTTTAACTCCCTTAAGAATAAATGTGCTTAATGGCAGAGAAGATGAATCTTCCTAGATAAGGATCATTTGGAGATCCTTATCCTTGCAATGTTGGGCACTTCTGCTCAGGTCCAACACACTCAGGGCCAAATTCTGCTCGTTCTTGTGCTAGTGGCAGGCATGCAGAACAGCTCAGATCTTTTTCACCTGGGGCAAATGACTGCTCCTGTTGTAGAAAATACCAAGTATATCAATTATCTTTCACTATTAAGAGACTGATGCCACAAGGCTCGTATGATATAAATTAGGCAAGATTTACCAGACTCAGTGGAGTTTGTGGATTTTGTTATTATTATTTTTTTAGTAGTGTGGCTTAGTGTCTTATTTATGGTTGCTAGGCAAGATTTTTCAAATGGTAGTGATATAATCAAATTTGGAGGAATAGGGACAATAATGGTAGAAAAAGCAGGACCTTTCAGTAACTGGATAGAGGAATCCCGATTTCATTTTTTTGTAAAGCAAAGCTGAAGTTTAACACAGAAAGAAGGGAGGGACTCCTTCCTTGTCACTGTTCTCTTTTAGCAGATGCCTTGTTTTACAGATAACACTCAAGATTATCGAAAAATTGAATCTGAGCATCCTGAAGTGATTAAAGCCTCATGCTGGTGCTTGTTTTCAGAGCTCTTTACAAACTCTCTGAGTCTGGTTCTGCTGCAAGATGCTGTGACTGTTCCCTTGATTTGACTTGGCCACCGCGAGAAATAGTTCAGGAGCTTTTAGTTTCTTGGGATTTGCATTTGAGTTTCCTTAGGGTAGACAATTTCCTAATATGAGGAGGATGTGATTCACCTCCTGGAGGGAACTGAAGCCCTGGGAGCGCTGCTCCCTGGGGACCCTGGAGAGAAGGGACAGGCTCTTGGGCTGGGAGTCTGCAGGTGAGTGAGACATTTCAAAGCAATTCATTGCTCTTGCTGTGTTAAATTGCGCTCCTGGAGAATACACAGTCTCGGGGAGGGATATTTCCTGACTCACTCAGAATTTTATAAGCCTATCCCGGATTGCTTGTTTATCTCGTCTGGGAAAAGGGACAGAGCTCTGCTGCATATTTAATTAGATGGAGGAAGGCAAAGAACTTTAAGATAAGATTATCTTGTGCTCCTCATCACAGCCCTCATGTAAAAAGTTTGCATGGCATGCAAAACAGAGCCTGATGGTAAGCCATTTGATTTTGAGGACACTGCACATGAAAACAGCTTTACAGAGTAATACTTTTTTCAGTTGAATACTCCTGTGAATTCTTTCTGTATATGAATAAAAAAAGTTGGTTTGTAATTTTATGAAAATTAACCAGGAGATGTAAAGAGATGTGTGGAAACCTGGAACTTCTGGAGGAATAAACGCTTTCATTCTGTGGTTGTTGAAAGCAGAAAAAGGACAGGTGAAAAGAACCCGAGTCCAAGTTTTTCACTGCTGCAATAGACCGACAATAATCAGAATTAAGGTACTGGGAATGACAGTATAAAATCAGTCAGAAATCACAAAGAACAATGGATTTTTATATTGTGGCCTTTCACTTCCAGTTCTGCAAAAGTTTTTGTGTACATTTAGGAAGGGCAGAATGACTGGCTGTTAGTCCTTGCTGCAGAGTCAGCTGCAAGAGCAGAGTCTGAGCTGGCAGAAGGGGGTGTGACAGTGATGCAGAACTGGGATGGAGTCCTCTGAGGTTTTGTGTTTAGTTTCGTATCTTTAGTGTTAGCACCAGTGTGCAGCAAGTGTTACAACTACATATTACTCTCACACAGAAAACAGAAATGTCAGGAGCACCACAGCTGTGAACCATCCTCTGCTTTCTCTGAGCTAGCCGACTTCTTTGTAACTCAAAAACCTTCAGATCTGTGCTCTCCCCTTGCAGTGAGGGTCAGAGCAAGCCTGGGGGATGTCTGTACAGCTAGTTGGTGTGTGAGTTGTTATCTGTACTGTCCAGGGCTTGCTGAGGAGCTGGAGTCCTGCTCTCCTCCTGGCAGAAGGATGTGAGAGGAGAAGATGGTGGTGCTTTAAGCCTAGTTTTGCTAATTCTGCATCACTGAACATGTCGTTACTGCTATGCAATAAACTCTGTGAGCTTAATGGCCATGAAATAATGGTTTCACTCTGCTAATGAGTCACTGATAGGTATCGAGTGATGGCTTGGTGAGGGGCATGAATGGATGAAGAGCCTTATGGGGATGTTTTGTAACCTGGGCAGGGGGGGATGTGCATGTACTGGGCTGGGCACAGAACATCTCTGAGGAGGACTAAGGCCATCGGGCTACACAGAAGGCTGTCTTGGTCTCAGAGCATTCTGCATCTCTCTGCCGTTCAGGAAAGGATTCAGGATGCTCTGGACCAGAGAGAGATCCACAGTGCACAAGGGAACACTTGATTTCCTAACGCAGTGGTGTATATAGCTTTTTATTAGCTTTCATGCACTGCAGTAAAACTCACCCCAGCATTAAGCATTCATGGTGCCAGAGAAACAAGTAAAAATCAGGAACAAGGAACTACTTTTGTGGTTTCATGAGGACCTCTGTGTCTTTGCACTTCTAAATGCTGACATAATAAATCCTGAAGTGCTTTTTTGCTCACAGCAGATGTGATTAATACAGCTGTTAGCTGGTGTGTCTTCTAGGGGAAACAATTGGCAACCCCTGGGTGGATAAGCACCAGAGGCCTGAAAAACCCACATTTTTGTCTGCATTTGAGAAATTAAGAGATATAATAAAAATGTTATTTTTTTTTCTCATCAAAGCCATAATCAGACATGATGTAAAGACAGTCACTTTTGCAATAAGCATTTTGGAGAGTGGCTGTTAAAGTGAAAATGCTCTGTACAGCCAGAGCTCCACTGGGGTTGGGCAGCTCCAAGCATGATGTGAGCATCGTAGCAGCATGTCCCATCCGCTGCCCCCCAGCCCTTCCTGCCTGCCCAGTTTGGAGAGCAAGGGATGTCCAGGTATACAATGCCTCTTTTCCACTCAGCAGCTCTTCTGCAAGGTGAGAAGGGAGCCTGCAGGGATGCTCAGGGGAGCTAAGCCCTGCAAACTTCATGCTCTAAATGCACCTTTCCTCCTCCTCACACCTATCTCCCC